TGATTCAAATATTACTGGTGTCGTATATATAAACGAGTAGACCTTTCTATGAAATGACTTGTTTATTGACAAAGTACAGAGCGTCCAAAAAAATTTGACAATTTCGCAGACCAATAATTTTGGCAATTCTTGTTGAAATAAACTCAAATTTTCACAGAATATATTGAAACAGATCAATCTTTTATATTCATTGTTTTATTTTTATTCTGTTTTCAGGTTGAGCCATGCTGTTCCCTCCCAAAGAGAAGTCATTTTGCGTCTTGGAATATCTTTGCACACAATCACCGAAGACTGTGAAGCTGTCCTTCAATGCGAAATTTTGAAAAGCTTCACCAGCTGGAAAATAAATTTGGACTTGTTACCAACAATTTAAAGAGAAATGCAGCTTATCCAGGCCTAAATGATCTGGTTGACCATCATCAAAATCAGCGTGTTTTCTAATAGCTTAACTAGCGACTTGATGTGTGCCGTGTCACAGGTGGTTCACATATTGAACACTTATTAAATCGGTCCCATAATAAACTTATGATGTTCAACACCTAATCTGTTCAATTTTATTGAACTAGATTTAGTAGTTTTAAAGATAATTGCTTTTAAAATGATGTCCAATTTTGTGGGACACTCTATGTATTTCAATTTTGTCTCATTCTGCTGAAGTTTATTCTTTTTATTTTAAATTTTTCCTTGCTATATGTTATTAAATATTTTTTTATATAATTCCCTTAATACTTCAATTTTTTATGTCTATTAAGTTCTATGATATAGTCATTAATATTCATATATCCTTCTGTGTGCCGTTTACCTTTAGGACTTGGGCGATCATGACTCTCCACTACATTCTATACCTTGTAGTACTAATTAATGTTTGTCCTTTTCTTATACCAATTTGTCCGTGTTCTGCTATCCTTTTAAACAAGTTCATGAGTAATATTACTCGTTGATTCCCTTTACTCCTCATTCCGACAATGTCATGCGAATGCCAAAATCTCTAGGTCACCTCAGCCGTCTTTTTCTTATACTAAATAAAAGTGCCAATCTTGTTACCTGTTTCCTTAAAACTTACTCTCCTGTTCCGTCCATAGTATTTTAAGTAGTTTTCTGCAGAATTTCATCTCCTTTGCTTCACGTTGCTTCTATCCAACTTCGAGTAAACTTCCAGCAAAAAATGACATATAGATGTACTGATATTGCATAACACCTAAGTCGTCATATATTCGTATCTAACAATTTTCCTGTTATTGTTTATTTATTATATGTGAACTGCCATAAAATGTGAATAAATATAGGGGAATAATTCCTTCTTTTCTTTCACCATCTTTTTTAACTCAATGCAGATATTTTAACCCCTAACCAGAAACAGAATGAATGGGTTTATATTATTCTGAATGATATTAATGCGAATTTAAATGTAGCGGACTTAGATTTGAACTCGTTTTGCCTGTTCCAGTTTCTGCGCAGTTAATTCTATCGTTATGCTTTTTCACATTATTTCAAAAAGGCAGATGTTAAATGATTTAATGACTACGGGTCTACGTAGGAAGTATTCAACTTGTGTTAGAACCCACTTCCGACAAGGTGGTCGGAACTGAATCCTGTATTAACCCCGGTACAAATTGTATGTTTACTATCATGTTTAAATATGAGAGTAGATCAAGAAAACTGGAATAAAAAGGAGAAGAAATGAAGGGGAAACTTTTAGAGAGGCGGATTAGAGGAAATGAAAGGAAAGAAAATGAAAGCAAGGGAGAAAAAAATAAAAAACTGATAAGCTGAAAAAAAGTAGTGAAATTATCTGTATACGTGCAAGAAGATGTGGAAGAAGGTCAATTGTCATATATTTGAAGAAAGAATGAGAATGAATAGGTAAAGATGGAAGTTAAATACAGGAGGAGTTGGATGACAGTGGGAAATTAACATCATATTTGGAATAAAAAAAAGAAGAAAATAAACAAGAAATGAATAAAAATAAGAAAATACCGGAAACGAATTTCAGAAAGAATTGAATAAGAGAATATATTAGTTGTATAAATAAATAAAACGAAACAGTCTAAAGTATCTTGACAGGGTCTTGAACTCTTTTTAAGCATGGCTCAAGAGACTAAGCGGTTTCTAGTCTTTCTACTATAATTACTGTCAATGACAGTGTTAGAATTAAGACCGACCTCTAAATGATCCTTCGATCGTGTTGGAATGAAATCCTTGCCAGTTAGCGGAATCTGACAATCACAAGACATAAACGAAGTTAATCAACATCAAGTCTGTTCGGTACCTACATGAGTGATCACTTAGAAATAACAACTGCAGTAAATTTCGCTGTGTGGAGGGTGTAATATCTAACAGCTTGGAATTGGAAATCGGAGAGCCAATTGGTTTTGTTATATTCACTATCGCGCAAATAACCTTGAGAAATGTATGAGTAAACCCCATCGCCTCCCAGCTATGGGTTAATTAGTAAAATTCTTATATCCCAAAACTCTTACAATTAAAAAATATCAGTTGGTTTTATATAACCTGCAAGTGTTGATAAAACTGAAAAAAAAAACAATTCATTTAGGAAACAGAAAAGAAGACTGGGAAATTCCCATGGCACCAAACAGCTTTTTCAAGCATTCATAGAAAACTACTGAATCCTTCTTTTTTGACAGCTTTGAGAAGTTCAGTAGCTTTAGATTGCCACTAAAATCGCGTCTGATTCCTGCGCGCATTTTAATAAGTTTCTTCCGATATTTAAAGTGAGAGCTTACATCATTAATCCACGCTTTTTGCGAATCCTGCATTTTCTTGGCAATCCTTTCAAGACAAAATTCTTTGTTATCATACAAATTTATACTTTTTGCATAGGGTGGCAAAATGTCTTTAATGAAGACTTATAAATGAGAGGTTTCGAAGATGATTCGATGTTATCAGTAATATATTCTGATTATCCAGATATATCAAGTTGATCATATAACTCTATTTTTATCAGAATGTCATTGACAAAACGTTGATGAACTTTCGCGTCGACGATATTGTTATATCCATTTTAGAGCAATGCAAAAGAAAGCATAACACTGCAAAAATGTCTGATTAGACCGATAAGAGACACTGCTGAAAGAAAAGCTGATTTTAAAGCCCTTCAAACAAAATTGTGTTCAAGTCAACGTTGATATGCCAATCTTTTATCGGGGATGCATCGTACTTGATTCTCTTTTAATCTTTATCAGTTTGTGGAAATGATGATTTCAATGTGAAATTCATTTCAAAGAGAAAGAAGACATAATCCGGGTTAGGATTAATCACTCTGATTCCATGCGAGCGGAGAATGCCAGAAAATGGTTGATGATTTGCAAACGTTTCGGGATTGATCTCTACCATTGATGTCTACCATTAAAACATGTTTGAAATTTAGGGTGAATTTTTGAGAGAACTGTAATAAGTTGCTTATAAAATTCCTCTTACATTCTCTCGGTTAGAGAAGAAATTATTTGCATAGCAACAGAACTGCATTCTAAATCAAAACTATGTTATGATTCGGTCTGTGATTTCACAATGAACAAAAAGGTAAGGAATTTACAATCTGAGATTTGATGGCGCAAAGCAACAAAAAATTATCTTCTAAGCATTTACCAATTCTTATGAAATTGCAACCCCCTTCAACCTCTAGCTGAGATGAACTTCTAAAATGATTCTGACGGAAATATCAATATGGTATTTATGCAGTGTATTTGATAGGATTGAAATTTTGCTTCCTAAGTTGTTTTTTTAGGTGTGCACGGATATTCCATGAACCAAATTGTATCTTCCTTGTTGCATATTTCACTATGCTACTGGATTACCAGACAATTGCATTGAAATGCCAACTTATACATATGGTCACATAATTTTAGGGCTCCGTTTATCACATGATCCCAAACATGCGTAAATAAAGAAATCTGATTTGTCAGCATTCGAAACGACAGTCAGTTCAATTGGTTGGAGGCTGATTATGCATAAAAATTTAACACCATAGTGTCGAGCTACATATTGATATTGATATTGTTATGAACTAATGGATTAAATAAAATAGTCTTCGTCGCCTAGCGTAGGAAAACATAATTAAGTCTTAGAAAATTAGTGACACTTATGAAATTCAGAGCATGGCACCAAACATTTAGAAATACATGCATACAAACATAAATGCTCGCACGCACACACACACACAAGCAAACACACACACACACACACACACACACACACACACACACACACACACACATATATATATATATATATATATATATATATATATATATATATATATATATATATATATAATAACAATAATAAAGGAGTTAATGGTCAGATTTGAATTAAACTAGGAAACAGTATTATCAAGTGCACAATAATCATATATTCGCACCTCTTGCTAGTTCTACTCACCTTCCACCACCTTGGTCTATATTGTATATATGTATATATTTACAAACTCATTTTCTTCTTCTTATCATGGAATCTTTTTTTAATGTTTTATCACTATTCAACGTTAACAACAACAACAACAATAATAATAATTATCATAATAATAATGCGGCTTGAATATTGCTTTTAAGTATGAAACCGACCGGTGCCTGTGGGTGTTGATTTCAATGTCCGTTTTCATATTTACACACACAGACACACATTCACACACGCACGCACGCGCATACACACACATATATATCTATGTGTGTACATATATACATACATACATGTATATATATATATATATATATATATATATATATATTACGCAAAAAATATATAAGTATATGTGTGTTATGCGCGTTTCTCTTCGTTAATAATGTTTTTTTTGAAAATTTTCCACGTCTGCTACATCCTGTATAGAATTTTTACGATGCTTATATTTGAGACACATCAGTTTAATACATCTTCCGTCTTGGATGGTTTTTCATTAGATCTCTATTTGAGCGAACCCTTTTTCTGCTACTTTTCTCGCCTTTTATTGTGGACACATTGGTGATTGTGGTAGGAAGATTGCATAAATGATATTTCACATCCATGTAGCTCTATCTATTAATGCTGGGTGAATTCATGCCGTTCTCATTTGCATTTGATGTCATTCAGCAGTTCAATGTATTATCATTTGTTAAATACATCTAAATCTCCAAGTGACTACACTGATACTCTTTTTTACATGGCGGTCTGGGCCATGCTATAAAAGTATTTGAAAATCTTAAATCTCAAATATGATTAGAGAATATCTATGTTCAAACATATTCCCTGTTTTACGCAGTAAAAATCACTGAAAACCATCAAATACTGTCGTTTTCATGATGCATGTATGAATTAAAATATTCATTCTACATATATTTTGCGAACACACACACACACACACACACACACACACACATATATATATATATATATATAATTATTTATTTAAAAATATGATTCCAACTCGCGACATAAGAGGTCTCATGTTTCAAAACAAGAGCCGAAAATTTCAATATAATTATTTGAATTAAATTGAGTTAAAGTAAGCTCTGTTCCATCTTCAAGCGAATGTTTTTTTTTTTTTTTTGAATAACGTATTTCTGAAATTTACGTGTTTTAATAATTGAAATCAAAGTTTCCATGGTAACAGCTAAGGCGAATTGTTTAAATTGGGTAGGCGTGTGTTGGGTGTTAATAATAAGTATCAGTATAGAGTTACTTTCATAGATGTCAAATCAGGGTAAGGTGGGGGTGTCTAAATTTTAAACGGAAGATGTTTTAGCCTAGTCTGGTTGACGTGTCTATATATATGCTAAGAAGGCACGGTGGATTATCGTTAGCAGCTTGGATTGACGAATCTAATCCATTACATTGACTTACGAGCCTATACCTCTGGAAAATGTATGAATCCTCTTCTTCTCCCTGCAGTGATAGATAAATAGAAGAACCTACCGGGTTCTATAGCTTTGGATGTCAACTGGACTTGAAGAATGACAACTCTTAATTCAAAACCTGCAGATGGTCGTTTCGGGACCTTGTGCCACGTAGTGAACCAGGTCCTTGAATTCGGCCCTTCAAAAAGTGTGGATGGTTCTGCACAAAAACTTCACCACTATAATTAAATCTCATGTGCTGATGTCGGGCGGTTTCTTCCTAGGAACTGATCTGCTTGATAATCATACGTCGAATTCAACGGGAGAGTTGAGTATATATATATATATATATATATATATATATATATATATATATATATATTGATCAGTTGCGGGATTTTAGCGTTTTTATTGCCAACAAGAACAACATAAGTCTGAATTGAAATATATATTCAAAATAGAATCACATTTTAAAGGAATAAACAGAAATTTAAGTTTACTCAAAGAATATCGTTTCTACAGACCCATCACCACCCTAATCGTGTAAAACACTACTAAACACAAACTATAAAATTTCTTACAGTGATACAACATATGGGGAAAAAAAAACAACAAAATTCACCAAAATTCTACTTTTTCTTAATACTTTTCTTTTTCCTGTTCAAATATTTGTAAAATATTCTTCTAGTCTTTTTAGTGTTTTAAATTTTTTTTGTTTTGCACTTTTGCTTTTCTCTTCATCTTTCACTTTTTCTTCTCCTCTTCTCCATCCTTTCTTTCTTTCTTTCTCTAAATTTAAAATTTCTTACTTGAATTCATTCTCTTTTTATTTCTTATCTCTCCTCGATTACCTTACTGTTAAATAACACTAAACTTTCGTTCTTTCTTTATTTCCTGTTTGCATTATTCTTTACTTCCTTATTCCCTTCCCTCCTTCCTTCCTTTCCTTTCCTTTATTCCTGCCACTCTCCCTTCCTTCCTTCCTACCACCCTCCAATCATTCCTTCCTTCCTGCCACCCTTCCTTCCTTCCTTTTTCCTGCCACCCTCCCTTCCTTCGTCCCACCCTCACTTCCTTCCTCCCACCCTCTCTTCCTTCCTTCCTTCCTTAACTTTCCTCCCCTTTCTTTCTCACACCCTCCCTTCCTTCCTTCCTAGCCCCCTCCAATCATTCCTTCCTTCCTGCCTTCCTTTCCTTTACTTTCGTTTTCCTTTCTTCCTCCCACCCTCCCTTCCTTCCTTCCTAGCACCCGCCAATCATTCCTTTCTTCCACCTTTCCTTCCTTCCTTCCTTCCTTCCACCCTTCCTTCCTTCCTTCCTTCCTGCCACCCTCCCTTCCTTCGTCCCACCCTCACTTCCTTCCTCCACCCTCTCTTCCTTCCTTCCCTCCTTCCTTAACTTTCCTTTCTTTCTCCCACCCTCCCTTCCTTCCTTCCTAGTCCCTCAATCCTTCCTTCCTTCCTTCCTTCCTTCCTTCCTTCCTTTCCTTTCGTTTTCCTTTCTTCTTCCCACCCTCCTTCCTTCCTTCCTTCCTTCCTTCCTTCCTTCCTTCCTTCCACCCTCCCTTACTTCGTCCCACCCTCACTTCCTTCTTTCCCTCCTTCCGTAACTTTCCTTTCCTTTCTTTCTCCCACCCTCCCTTCCTTCCTTCCTAGCCCCCTCAATCATTCCTTCCTTCCTTCCTTCCTTCCTTCCTTCCTTCCTTCCTTCCTTCCTTCCTTTCCTTTCGTTTTCCTTCCTTCCTTCCTAGCACCCGCCAATCATTCCTTTCTTCCACCTTTCCTTCCTTCCTTCATTCCTTCCTTCCTTCCTTCCTTCCTTCCTTCCACCTCCATTCCTTCGTCCCACCCTCTCTTCCTTCCTTCCTTCCTTCCTTTCCTTTCCTTTCCTTTCCTTTCTTCCTCCAACCCCCTCCCTTCATTCCTACCTAGCACCCTCCAATCATTCCTTCCTTCCACACTCCCTCCCTTCCTACCTTTCTGCCACCCTACCTTGCTTCGTCCCATTCTCACTTCCTTCCTCCCATCCTCTCTTCCTTCCTTCCTTTCTTTCTTTACGTTGTAGATACATTTGATATATTTGATACTCTTTCGTTTGCTTGTTCTGTATTTTCAACCATTCGTTTATATATTTACCTACTCTTTCAATATTTTTGTCTACATATATAAATGTTTTCCCTGCTTTTCGTTTTCAATTTCTCTTATTCATTTATTAATTATTTATTTATTTCATCTTATTTCTTTCTTTCTTTACCCTTAAGTTCTTTCTTTCTTTCTTCTTTCTGACAATTTGCTCTGCATATCTAAACATTAATTCCGTTTCTTCATTTTTTGTTCCACGTCTTTTTTATTTTATTTCATAGTACGCATTTCTCTTGCCTTTTCTTAAGATATATATATATATATATTTATTTTGAGTTAATCTTATTCTTTCTTTTTTGCATTTCTCAAAGTTTCTCTCTCTATTTTTCATCGTTTCCGAACTGCCTCCCAATATATTACTTTTCTTTAATTCACAGATATTCCTTTCATTTTTCTTCTTTCTTTCTTTCTTTCTTTCTTTCTTTCTTTCTTTCTTTCTTTCTTTCTTATTCCTTGAACATGCAAATAAATCGCTCGTTTAATATAACTTGACTAAGTTGCAAGGAACTGTCCCCACCAGTAAGATTCATTGATATTCAAAATGGCCCCCAGTCAGCACATGGGATATATCCACCTTGCGCAAAGGAAATAGTTTAACCCACAGACATGTCTCAGCTGGTTACTCGGATCAAAGATTGAATATGTCGGCTCTTAACATGTTCAGTAAATTCTAGAGCAAAATACTGATTTGAAAGCCAGCCAGTACATTTTATAATAATCTGCAATCATTTTCCCTTGTCATTTATGCATTAACTGCTCATGAACTGCTTATTGAGATTAGACATTCAAAATAATGTATGGACTTTGCTATCTTCGATGAATAAGGTTTCATCTGCTCAGTTCTTAGAACCAAACAGCCAAACTACTTGGATGTATTATTTGATGCTAGTCTTGAGGGCTTATGCAGAAATGGCCATGCGTTTCAAATACAGCGCCACAAGTTCTTCAAACGACCATCCATATGTTTTGAATTCAGAGCTATGCATCTTTTATACTGGTTGCCAAACAAGGTTCAAGAAGCAAATCGGCCCAACTATTTAAACCATAGAGGGAGACGAAATGATGGAGCCATAGCGTTCTCATAAATCAATGCACCTAACTTTAAATTCAGCTTCCCGAATTCTCATTTCGCGCCACTATCCCTTACACCACACATACATTATCAATATATATATATATATATATATATATATATATATATATATATATATATGTGTGTGTGTGTGTGTGTGTGTGTGTGTGTGTGTGTGTGTGTGTCAATCGTAGACAGTACTGATTCGCTGAATCACAGCTCCTCAGTGTCTAGACGATCGAAGGATCAAAACCCGACCGATTTGGTGTCAGTCGAAATTTCTACCGCCTAAGCCATCATATATATATATATATATATATATATATATATATATATTTTAACGTCAGTTATATTTATGTGTAACAGTTCTCAATATCAGTGTTAGACCGTATGTCAAATTTAAAATTGTCATTGACGTTAACGCCAATCGGCTACTATGCGTTGCATGGTTGAACCCTATCTTAAGGCCATGTGTAATCGGTTAATGCTCGACGACTATGTATATATGCTTGTCGAATTATCTGTAGTAATTTCTATTTCATTATTTTAACAGTTATTCTGTAGGCGGTGACGGTTATATTTCAAATTATTCTAAATGTTACTATTTGTTTATTATTATTATTATTATTATTATTATTATTTATTTATTTATTTATTTATTTGTTTATTTATTTTTATTACATTTACTTGTGTTTTTTAATAAGAAAGTTCCTAAATGTGAACAGGCATGTTGTAAAAGTTGAAAGATTAGAAGTGCTGTAGAAAAACATCATTGTATATAAATTTAAATGTCCATTGGGAGATTTTATCTCGAACCGAAGAAAGAATATTTTCGTTGGCTATAACACTATTACGTTGTTACGAAGGTTGAGTTTTCATTTGAATTATGCATCTAACATATCTCAAAATTTACAACTCTCAGAATATTCCCAATTAGAAAAATCTTAATTATCTACGGATTATACCAACCAAATGGATAAATTTCCTTTAGACTATTCTCTGAAAAACATTTCCTATATATTGTCTGAATAAATCTAAACCATTTTGTAATTTCGAGCTGAGGCAGATAATAAAAACTTATTTGTCGAATAAAATTTATTGCCGAATTCGTCGGGAATATGTTAAGTTTTTCACTTTTTGATGTGTATGTCATATTGCTCTGAATATGACAAAATTGAATTCTTTTGTGGATCTAACTTTCAGTATGTTATATTAAAAAAAGGCCTACTGGAACCCAGCCCTACCACTTACCGATTTGATATCATTGTCTATATTGGCCCTTATAAAGTTTAATTTGAGCTCTCGAAGGAATATTCTAGTATGGAAAATCTTAATTATCTTCGGATTATTACAACCACAGAGATATCTTTCTCCAGATAATTCTCTAGAAAAAACATTTCCTCTATATTGTCTGGATAAATTTAAACCATTTTGTAATTTCGGTCAGATGAGACAGATATCAAAAACTTATCTGTTGAAATAAATTTATTACCGAATTCTTCGAGGTTATTTTTTCCCTTATTGATATGTATATCACTAAGGAGGACAAAGTATTATGGGTAAAAGAGAAATTCGTGTGAGTTCCACCACGGAATATGTGATCGAGCGGCGCTATATCGAGTCTAATTCGCTACGTCTTCGGCAAGGAGGCCTGTTGGAATAGATGACTTGACGTTTACCTGATAACGTAAATGTAAAGGTTTCAATTCTTGGATGTGGATGCGCACTGCTGATGAGTCCCAAATATAGGGCGGAACTGCCGTCCAGTGTTTTCGGCATTCTGTTGAGGTTTCTTCAAGACTCGATGAATTACTTAATTATATATACATACATACACAAATATATATATATATATATATGTATATATGCAAATATTTAAGTAAATAATCTGTCTATAATAAATGGTATTAACAACATTTACCAGCCTGAATATCCGAGAAATTTTCATAGAAAATATATGTCCTCCGACAGGAATCGAACTTAGCTTTAGCTACAGAGGAATGCCTGGTTAACAAATTCGATTTTACTATTTTTGAACTACAATTTTACTTGATTTCCCTCAAATATTCATGCTTACTCGATGCATAAATAAATGACGCCACACACTACGAAATGACCAAAGTTCGACAATTATTGTAAGTTACACACACACACACACACACACACACATATATATATATATATATATATATATATATATATATATATATATATAAACACTGTAAACGTTATTTTTTGATACTCATATTTGTGTAGACGTTCTCTTTATTTATTACGTAGTACATTTATTCTTTTTCGTCGAATAATGTGAATAACTGAGAAATCTTATTAAAGATGCTTGATTGAACGTGCCTTAAGCGAGTCACCAACGAAGACGCTTTGCCAATCATGCAAGTTCTTAAGAATACCTTTAATCGAAATACCCCTTCTCTCTTTCTGTATATATATATATATATATATATATATATATATATATATATATATAAATAGATGTGTGTGTGTTTTTGTGTGTGTGTGTGTGATAAATTTTTATTATTACTCTTCCTTCCTAACTTACACCTAACATTTGCATTGAAAATAACATATCAGTTTTGTTCCTCATTAAGGATTAACGAAATCAGGTTTGTAGAAAAAGTATCTTGCGCGGAGCTACTATAAAATTACAAATAGACAAATCTGGAAGGTTTAATGTTACAAATATATATATATATATATATATATATATATATATATATATATATATAAAATACACTGGATTGTAGACTAATATTCTTTCGTTTTTATGAAACTTAGAATATTGTTTTATTTCTAAATTTCAAATAAGTTAAAACCGTATGCTTTGAAGATTAAAATTTCTACCACATCATTTGTCCGCATTTTTGCTTTCATTAATATCGACCACTAAATGGATGCCTGAAAGTAATTATGCAAGTATCCCAAACAAGAGACTAGATGTTGACTGTTTTTCCTTTGCTTAATTCATTTTCCTGATCCTGGAAACTTATCAAATATTGTAATCGATGAATTTACATAAATTCCTTTCAGATTCTATAAAAGGCTGAGCACAGTTCAAAGATAATTTTAAAATTTTAAAAAAAAAAAAAAATTCAAAATATTTAATTGGGATTTTTTACTATCTCATAGTTTATGGCTTCGTAGAATGCGTCTCCAACATTAATATAATATTACAATATCATAATATCATAATATTAATATAATATCTGTAATATTAATTATATAGTTTTTAATTATATTATTTTATATTTTTTTAATATCTATTTAACTATCCAGATTTCTATACAGCCATACTTGCAGAACACAGAAGCTTATTTTGTTATATGTATTTTTTACGGGCCTCATTCTTACCACCATATCAGTTTGAAACAACATTTCTCGTACGAACATGGAAGTTAAGCAACATCGAACCTGGTCAGTACCGAGACGGGTGACCGCTTAGGATTACCAAGTGCTGTAAGTTTCGATACGCAGCAGGTGCAACGGATAACGGCTCGGAATTGTAAATAGGCGAGTCGAGTGCCAATTCCAGTTCATTATATTCACTTACGAACAAATGGCCCTGGGTAATGTTATGAATCCAGTACTTCTCTCCCTCATCAATATGCAAATTAGTAGGAATTGTATCCGTAAATTATTATTATCCACCACACAAAACATTAATACAATCTAAAAATATTTTCTGGCTTTAAATAACCTGCAAAATGTAGATAAGCCGTTAAAAATCAAATCAAAATTACGAGCACCATTCGGTTCAGTTCGAAGGAAGGCTGAATTATTTTATATATAGTACTAAGTGTAACTTCTGTCTAATCTGGCTTTCTTCTTCTTTGTATCAATATAGTCTGAGTAAAATCCAAAGAAGAATCTACCATGTTATCGGTCTTCACCTGACATCTCCGCTCCATTCATCTTTCCATCGCCGTAACATAGTTAATCTGTGCCTTTTGTATAAATATTTTTATGTAAATTATTGAGATGATCTTTCCTCTTTTGTACCTTGACTTTACGAATTTAAGCGCAGTACTAGATTGGCAGTTTGGTCTTATAATTTTATTATGGAAATTTCTAGATGTAACTGTAAGTTATATTCTAGCCATTTCTAATCTCGCAATTCTCAGTTGATTTCCTCTCCACTATATTTAAAACATTCAATGCAACATCAATCGTCCTTTTTCGTTTCCTTGAAAGATAATCTTTTATTGTCCTGTTTCTATTTCTTTCACATTCGGTACCCCGCTTGCATCTTAGTGGCTTTATCGCCTTTTTGGAGTCAAATGATAAAAAATTCTGAGACATTTGACGCAACACATTTTTTAACAAAACAATTTGCCATATGTTTCTTTATACCACTCAAAATTATCTATATTCGCAAATAGTAATGAATCTAAAACTGCAGAGTAAAAACTGCATTACCGAAAACGATTGGGAAAATGGTTAATCAAAATGAGCGAATAATATATAAAGACTTACAAAGTCGGTCGATAAAAGACCGATTTTTTTTTAACTTGATTTAATCTTATATACTTTTGTATTGATTACGATATTAATTTTTTTTTTCTTTTCATGTATAGTCGCAAATTATATCAATCGATATGCGACTCATAAAGTTCGATAAACAAATCCTGTGGAATTATGCCCGGCTGACCTCGACCAAACTTGTCAGATAAAAGTCTAAGCGAGTTCAGATGTCATTGTTCTGAAGAGAGGCGTTTAAATATTAAAGGACAAAAATTAATATATAATGTGTTTCTGACGTATCAAAGACCACGCGAGGCCATCTGTTTTTATATACAGTTTTATATAAATTGAACTCCGTTTTGATATACAACTCAGGTCTTCAGGGAAGCAGGAAAACGATATGCCAATAATCCAGCTGACTGGTTTACCGTAGTTATCAGATCATAAAACTGAATCGTAAAGCCAAGTTCAAAATTTGGCCGAGGTTTGTTTTCATCTATTTACTAGCAGCCATACCCAATTGGCCGATCAGAAGAGTTCAATTAGAATGGAGCAAAATCAGCATCATGTTTAGATGTAACAGAGTTTATCTTCTTTAATTACTTTAATGTACTTTCATTAAAAACCATTTCGAATTAATGCAGTTACTGATATAACAGAAGTAGTCTGTATCTATTCAGTTGAAGTTAGCCGAGGCCATGAAGGGTTAAAACAGGCAATATAAACACCCACTGCTGACGAAAATTATTTTGGAGTTTTTGAAATTCAATTTGTCAAAGTGCTGCCAGGGATGTAAATGAGGATACATTTATAAAGAAATTGTTGTTTGATGAAAATTGGTTGAAAATTCAACGAAAAATAAGAAAGAAACTAGCCATTTTCCGCTATTTACGCGGTTTTTTTACTGTATTGGTGGACTCATTTATCAAATTAAATGGCTGTTAAACAATCAACTTATTGCTGGCTAAATTGAGCGAAGTTTGTATTAAATTGCTTGAAGATTGCGGAGTTTTTAGTTTAAAATGAGTGTTGAAATAGATTTTTGTTGAAATCGATTTTTCGTTTTTCGCTAAACGCACTGGCGTAGAAATAAAAATGAGGTATTGTTGAGCCCGTCGTGATCTAAGTAGTTTGATCGAAATACCAGTTTTGAACAAATTCGAAGGAAAAAATTGTACATATCGATTTTTTACGCTAAGAACCTATCTCTTATATTGTACAATGTATGTTCCAATTTTGTTCAAAATTGGTTAGATGGATCTCGAGGGAAAAGGTATCACACAGACACACAGTCATCTTCTGTTTTATATATAGAGTTATTTCTTGTCAGATCAATGCCATTGTTAAAGGTATGGATACATCTATTTGTTGTGTTTCTTCAGCCGTCGTAGGGCATCCATTCTACAGAAGATATTTTGATTTGAAATTAAATCTGAAAAATTATGGTCGCTGTCAGAATATCTATTTCTGCTACTATTGCTCTAAAATACAATGGATAACGGGAATACACACATTCATGTATGAGTGCCGTAAAGAATGATATCTGAATTTTCTGCCTTAACTGTTTACTTCACATTAATAGTAAAATGATGTATTCAATTGTTTGTACAACTTGGGGTAACTGTGTCATGACTGGCACACCGTGGTTCGTGACGAAATGGTGAATGAGAGAATAATCGCCTTTAGGATGTCCAGATTTGTGTAAGGTTTAGCGGTTTGGAACGAGACACTGGTGATCCGAATACGGATTTCGATCGACTTTGAATCGACTTAAACTTGAGGGTTTTGCGAATCTATTTCTTCGACTGAATATGCTAAAGATCAGAACAGACTGGGATCACTAACCATGCTTAGCAGCCTTTCTAGGAGAAGAGCAACTCTGAATGTCAAAATGTATGTAACCCTATTGAATCACATGTTATGAAATAACAGAAAGTAACATGAATTTCTCAATGACTATATAATATCACCTGTATTCGATGTCATAGATAGAATAAGCACTTGTCCGAATCAATGAATATAATCTATGAAATCTACGTATTAATATCATACTACAGATGGATGTTGAGGATCTTATAGTCGGAAAATCTGAAAGAAGAGTTTTTAAGGAAAATGCGAACAAAGATAGATGTGTACTTGGAATAACTAAAAGATAGTTCCAATTATTGACACACGTGTGAAAAGAGGAATGCATGAATGGATTTGATACTCACGGGACAGACATAAGACAAGAGATCAAGAGTAAAATGGCGAACAACCGAAATAACGAGCAGAAGTTAGCAGATTGGAAAGGATAGTAAAATGCAACGATAAATATAAGACATTCTGAAGTAAATTTACGTCTAATGCGATTTTAACACAAATCTCAATAAAATATAACTGATAGTATACAGGTCGGCGTCGACTTACGGCTACGATTGATTACGGCCAACAAGACGTAATTATATCTAGTCGTAAGATGACTTGTAATTAATTTCGAAATCTTTATCTTTCTTTATTGTATATTTGTTTTTATTTTTACGGATTCTTTACGTTTCACACCATTGTATCCTCTCTTTACTCTTTGTTTTCTTTCTTAATTGTAAGTTCGCCGGGCTCAATTATTTCTTTCACCTTTAACCCAGTTGATACAGTAGAGTGTTATAACTTTAGATCATTTGCGATTGCATTCACTTTCTTTCTTCCTTCCTTTCTTTCTTTCTTTCTTTCTTTCTTTCTTCTGTTTAATCACTATTATTTCTTTTTGACGTGATCAAGAGCTTTTTTTTTCGTTCTTATCTTATATGATGAGTAGACAAAGACAATTTCCTCTTGGTAGACATGCTGGACGTTTTGGGAAGAAAAACATCAAAAACACTAATGGACTCGGGAGAAAGTATATTGTACCGAGACTATCCTAAATCCGAGTTTGAAGCACGCGACCGAATGCTGTCGCTACCGGACGAAGCTGGGAGGGAAATTGTTGTACACCACCAATCTGGGAAACACGAACGCTGGTAGACGCGGAGCAGGCGTGACCAGATATTCAAAGTGGTGTTCGTTGTCCTAAATTCGGATTAATGGTAAGTCTACAATGAGTTGTATTCCGTTGGTACCGGAAAGATGTTAACCGCGTTACTGATTTCATTGCATATTGACAGTTACATACAAGAGACTGACCAGGTGTTCACAAGAAAGATGGTACCTTTTATCACCTTCGCTATAAGCTAACTGGATGAATTTCAATAAATTTCAATTTTCTGATGCATTTTAAAAACACAATAAAGTAAGCGAGTTGGATGGCTGTTTTTTAGTTGCCTTTTAAACTTGATGGGTTATTTAATGCCGAAATCTACAAATTTTGTACGCAATTTTATTTTATTTTTTTCGAGATATTAATGATATAGTAATGCACGTCTTACTAATTAACCCATAGCTGGGGGAGAAGAAGCAGAGTCGTACTTTTACCAATGATATTTGCGCGTGAATTTATATAACGAACACAACTGGAATTGAAACTCGGCTCACCGATAAACAATTATCCACTACACCAACCGCAAATCCAATTTTACAACAACTGCTATCCTCAAGCATTCTCCCATCTAGGTACTGAGCAGATTCGAGGTTGCTTAACCTCGGTGATCGCATCGTACCCGTTGTTTCAACGTGATGTTGCTGTAAAAAAACGCAGCAAAAGAAATTCATACTTGAATACATGTTAATGGATACAAAATAGGATCGGATGTGTATAGAAGTCCGTGATTTCACGTGCGAAGGTGGTTTTTAAAAGTTTTAGAGGAAGTTAAGCCAGAGTAAAGGTGCTTGAAATTCCTGCTTGAATAAATATTGCTTCGAGATACAAAGGATTGCATTGAAAAGTGATCTGTGATATGCCATGTCCTGAAGGGACGCGTCGTATAAAAAAAAAAGGTAAATGTTTGATTATTTTCTTTCATAATCAGGTGTGCTGGCACTTCTTCATGTGGTACTGTGACGTAATACACTCATTCCAACGTCTAT